ACCACTACCCCTATATAAGCTTGTGCCTTCCTGCAATAAAGCAGACCTGTATCACTGAACCTGGTCTCCTGTGTCTGAATGCGGCTCCACTGACACAGTCTCCTCACCAGCCCTGGGGTCCAGGACAGGGCAGAAGCAGCGATGACAGGAGGCAGCACAGGGCAAGCAGAAGAGCTGCCTCCACACCAGGTGAACAGAAGAGCAGCCTCAGCCCAGGGCAGCAGAAGAACAGCCTCAGCCCAGGGCGAGCGGAGGAACAGCCTCGACGCCCGTGAGAATGAAGGCGCAGCACCCATGAGAACGGAGACTGCAATGGGCCACTGTGACACTGTCCTGTGACCTGTAGCATCCATCATCTTTTAATACCTTTCATAGACTCTTATTTTCTTCTTCCTTTCCCTAGCCATTTAAAGCCTCACAATGAATGTGAATTCTACCTATTTTATTTTTCCTAGTTAAAACAGCACTCACAATAAATGCTTTCTAATACTTGTTGAATAAATGAAACTGCTGAGGTTACTCTACATAGCTGGAGACTCTTGGGTATTCACTTTAAAGGAAGGCAGAACTTCTGTTTCCTTCCCTTGACTTTGGCTTGGCTTTTGAAAGTCCCTGACTCATTGAATGAGGCAGAAATGGCATTGTAACAATTTCAATTTAATAAGAATGGCAGTTTTTATTTTCCAACTGAGATCTCTTGTTTGGGGCATGTTCCCTCATACAATTCAACCACTATGCTGTCAGAAGCCCAAGGTACTCTGATATATCACTACAACCAAACTTCTAGCCAGTATCCAAAATCAAATGCCACATCTGAGTGATGTGTCCTATATGAATCAACCCTACTGACTCCTGAGATGATGAGTCTAGCCAGTCTCACATGGATCAGAATTGCCTAGCTAATCCCAAGATTAAAAAAAAAAGTTCCTATGTTGTTAACAATATTGTATATAGTTTGCTACAGTAATAGAAAATTGATTTAACTTATCTGTAATATCTATGCTAAATACCATAGATAACATTGCATGAATATGAAAAGATTCATCTAAGGATATTCATTCAAAATGAGAGAAAATCATTTATATGAATAATACTTCCTTTTCCAACAATGACTTGGGAATTTGTAGGAAGGATGTATTCAAGGGGAAATCTGGGGTGTGAAGGATTTGATAAATTGGTAGAGTTGATGGAACATGTCTATAATAGAATTTAACTATTAGAGGTGAAGGGGATGTTTGCTGGAGGAGACAGAGCAGGAGGACAGAAGCAAAGGAGAATGGCTACTCGTCTCACAGAAGGTGTGATTGGGCC